AAAGAAGGATAAGTGAATCCTATGACAACAAAAATACAAAATAAACACAAGTCCTTCTCCAAAGAATAGTTGAAACACACCCACTCTTATTACCAAATTAGGGCAAAAGAGTGAGGGGGGTTAACCCTCCAAGTAGAAAAGAACATAAGAAATGTAGAAGAAAGATTAGCTTAGGGATGTAGGGTATTTCTCTCTTTTCCTTCCTCTCTTTTCTTTTCTTGGTCTTCCAATGAAATGGAAAAGAACATGGCTTCAAATGTCTTCAAAGCAAGCCCATCTATGCCTAAGGGGAGGGGTAAATTTGATTGAAAGAAGCTAGCCAATAGGAGCACTCTTGTTGCATGAATGGACCTATGGTGGAAAAACATCTCTTAAGTCGATTTTGGCCACCATTCGGACACCACCACCAACGTACGGACGGTGCTGGTTCTCTAGATTTTTGCCTTGCAGCATCCTTTGTTGTCTTTTTGACATTGGCCACCGTTGGGATGGTGGTTTACATTGCTGATTTTTCTCTTTTTGTCTTTTCACATTTCTTTTTCTTCTTTCCACTTTAGCCCTCTAATTCTCTATATTTACATATGAAATCCAAACATATTATTCAAACATGAGCCATAATATAATTCAAATTAAACACTTTAATTCAATTAACGCCCAAAATTAACCCTAAACCCTAATTCAATACCGCACTTTCTAGGGTTAATTAGAAGATTGCATGGAAATCAAAGTGTAAAACCCAGGAAAAATTTTAATTTTTATGCAAAAGGGGAAAATTGTAATTAGTTACTCCAGTACGAGTTAAAAACACAAATTTTTCTAGAACTTGAATGATGAAATAGATCTCACCTTTGGATTCGTCTCGCGAAATCTAGTTGTCTAGTCAATTTTCATTGAATTTTGAGATAATCAAATTTTTTACATTTCACATGGCGATCGGTGGTCGCGTGACCAAAATAAACACGGTCGGGAATTGATTGCGAAAAGTGGAAAATAATATAAATTTAGTTCTATTTAATTCAAATAAAAATATATTGAACTTGAATCGGGATAAAATTTAATTAATTTGGGACAAAATCAGACCCGAGAAAAGCGGACGTGTGGCGCAACAAGGCCCAAGTATCTAAGGGGTATAAACAGGGGAGAGAAAAATAGATTTTCTCCCATACCCAGCTGATTTTCTGAAAAAGGGAAAAGGGGGAGGGGAAAGAGAAAAATCAAGGGTTTTTTTATCTTCTCTCTACGATATAGGGCCAACCTTTGGTTGGAATCCTTCGAGCCAAGAACTAAAGTTCATCTAAGCAACAAGGGCTACATATACGTACCAAAAGGCACAAATTTTGACAAAGTCCAAAAGATAGAATTTTTTTAAAATCAAGGTTCAAAACTTGATTTAGGTTCTAGGGAGTTTTCTACCACTCGTATTATGCTTCAAGAGGTAGAGTTCTTCTCCTACCTAGGTTTATTTCCAAACTAGGGTTGAAATATGAAATGGATAAGGTGTTAAAGATGTAATCTCATATATGACACATACCTATTGTGATTGAAATGTGGAAAGTGAGTTTAAAAATGTTTAAAATCAATTCTTGCATGAATTGGGTTGTTGAAATTGCTTGTTTTGTAATATCACGAGAAATGTGATGAATTGAACATATTATGTGTTTACATGATTTTGTGTCTTGTGGGTGTTTGATAAAATGCCTTGAATGATATGAGCATGTTATTTAAATGAAATTGATATAACATGTTTGATAATAATGTAAATTGTAATTATATGCTTATGATATAATTGACAATTAGGAATATTGGTTGAAATGAAATATTATTCATAATGTTCTCATGACTTATTGAATATGATATAAGATTTGCATTTGTGCATCACATTTGCATATGCACGAGAAACATCATATTCGTGGGCATTTGACATGAGTGTGGGTGTGTGCATGATTTGGATCAAACACCACTCGTGGTAGATGATGTGTGGACTCAGGAAAATTGGACCAAGGTTCAATCGAGTCGCACAAGTTGCATTGAAAATAGGGTTAGGGTTAACAAGAAGGGCTAGATTGTTCCCTCGTTGCAAGACCCGGTGATTTAGATACGCACTTTGTCAGTATCGAGTCCATAAAGTATGTTGACGTTTGTGGAGCCCTTGGTGGAAGTCCATAAATATTTTGTCGATTGGGTGTCCGTTGGTGTAAATCCATAAATACCCACCCCAAGAAAGACTTAGGAATTATAATAGTCATAGGATGTGTAACATCAATGGTGGGGGCTTGGAATGCTCGGATTGATACACATAGCATTGCATGTGATATGGGAGTCAGTGAAGGCTCAGTTGCATTGCATGTGTGAGTCTCATCTCATGACATTGCATGGCATAAAGTATTCCATTTTTTTTTTAGTATTCCATTATGATTTTCATATTCTTAAATGGGTTTTTTTGTTGATTGTTGAATTGCATGTGAACATTTCATATACATCTAGGTTGGGGAGTTACCTCTTTAAGAGATACACTATTGAACGTGGCTCACTCTTTATGCGGACAATATTTTAGGTGTGGAACAAGCACTGATGGATGACTCTCACTTGGGGCCTCATTGATGAAGAAAAGCCAAGATGTGGCTTTAAATTAAGTTTTTGTAAAACAAATATGTAATTTAGTTTTGGACATGTAATAATGTATAAAGAATTGTAAAACAAACTCATATGGACTATGTTTTTGTGTAAAATTGTATGCTATATGAGGGTTGGGTGGATGTTGTATAAGATTGGATGAGTTAGAATGTAAAAAGATTGAATCGGGGGCAAACTGGGCACTTTTATTGGTAGAATATGGATTATCTACTGGTAGAAGAATTTCAGTAGGCATTTCTACTGGTAGAACGTCGACTACCTACCGGTATAAGAATTCCAGTAGGCATTTCTACTAGTAGAACATCAAGTACCTACCAGTAGATGAATTTCAGTAGGCATTTCTATTGGTAGAACGTTGAGTACCTACCGATAGAATAATTCCAGTGGGCACTTCTACGAGTAGATTGTCGATTATATATCAGTAGGTCCCCTTAAATTTTCAAAAAAATAAAATACTTTTGTCCATAAAATTAAAACACTTCTACTGGTAGATTGTCGATTATCTACCAGTAGGTCCCCTTAATTTTTCAAAAAATTAAAATACTTTTGTCCAGCCTCTGGGCTTTGAGTCATTTTGCTCAAATGAGGTAAATGGAGTAATATTAAAGGTAAATTGATGTATATTGAACCTTAGAATGATCAAGTGATTGAATTGTACACAGACAATATTTTTGGGAGTGCCCGGTACAAGGTAGACTCTGCCCAAACTCTATGTTAGTTATGATCCCGATGAAGGAGATTTTGTAATGTGGTGTCGGATTATGCGGTATTCACGGGTACTTTCACGGGTTGATGGGGGTGATTAATGAGTTGACAAAGATCCCCAGTTTTAGCGGCGTCACACAAAGGGATTCAATTGATATTTCAAAAAGCTAAACAGTTGATTAAAGTGGACCCTGGCTACATACATAGGTGCGTCTGAATGCAACTACTCCATTCGGACACGAGTAAGGACATTACAGCAAAAAAACATTTTTTGTGACGATTTTAAATTTGTCGCAAAAAGTTTACTATTCGTGATGATTTTATAATTTTGTCGCAAATTTCTATTTTGACAATTTTTTGTGATGCGAAAATGTGATTCTCTCCTAATTGTTTTTGGCGGGAATTTGTAATTTTTTACAACAAATTTTTTTTGTCACAAATAGTTTTACCTTATCGCAAAAATAAATAATCTAAAATTTAAAGTAAAATAAAGTCTAAATTTCTATTTTGGTAATTTTTTGCAACATTTTTTTAAAAACGTCGCGAAAAGGCGATGCCCTCCTAATTGTTTTTGGCGGAAGAAATGACGAGAATTAAAATATTGAATAAAAATAATAATTTTATTAATTTTTCGCGACGTTTTTTTAATAAATTTTTAGGTAAATAAAAAAAATTAAAAAATAATAATTTAATTAATTTTTCACGACCTTTTTACAAAAAATGTCACCAATAAATTTTTACATGAATAAAAACTTTTTAAAATAATAATTTAATTAATTTTTTGTGACGTTTTAAGTTTGTCGGAATATTCATATCGCATAATATATTTTGTCGCAGAGTATAATTTTTAAAAAAATTCTTTTACCCTAAATTCTTTTTATTTTTTTTGTTTGCGACGTTTTTTTGTTTCATCGCAGAAGATAATTCTTTTGCCCTAAATCGAGAAATCCATTAAATCGATCCACAAAAATTCCAGACCACCAAGCGACTGACCACAGCTCCAAGAGGCAACTCTCCAGCGACCACTCCAGCAACTGAGCAGGGACCACTCCGACGACTGAGCAGTGATCACTCCGACGACTGAGTAGCGACCACTCCAGCCTCCGAACTCCGACCCCCTCATCGTAGACAAAAAGCTATCCAAAGTCGGAAACAAAAGTAAGTTTTCCTTAGATTTTGATGCTCCTGTAAATCATGGAGTGATTCTGTGAGCACTATCACTGTTGATTTAAACTACTCATGGTATTGGGTTTTTTCTGTTTTGAAATTTTTTTTGTTCCTGTTCCATCATTTATTCTTCGCGGTTTAACTGATAAAAGATGTTTGAAAGCTGATTCTGAAACTTCTGTGAATCTCAAAAGAAATCGTTTTCTTTCTCTTGACAACTCCTACAATTTTGGTGAAAATAATATAAACAAGGTACTGTTCACGGATTTAAGATTCCATTATAATCTGATTTTCTTTCGTGAAAATGGCTATGAATATATGCTTTTTAATTTCGTATTCTTATCACATTTTCCACCTTTGTTTGTGTAGAAGAAAATGGACTTTTCACAAGCAATTTGGGAGATGATTCATTCGGGGATTTTAAGAATGCTTCAAAATCGAGTACATCGTCATTTATGTCAAATGCTTTTCCCACAAAAAATAATAGTTCGAGCATGGATACTTCTTTAAAGATGGACGATTTTGGGAGTTTTGCTTCTCAGAACCAACCATCTGTGCATTCCCCTGTTGTTGATGCGTTTGATTCTTTGTTCTCCTCGTCCTTGGCCTTGGGTGGGGTTGCGACGAAAGAGTCTGAAGGGCTGCACAATGATCAGTTTTCTGGAGGCAATGATTGGGGTTTTGAATCAGAATTTGGTGGAGGGAATGACAATGGAGGGACAACTGAGCTTGAAGGGCTTCCTCCCCCGCCTTCTGGGGTTACTGCACCAGCTGCAAAGAACAAGGGAATGGATATTCATAAGCAGGGGCAATATGCTGATGCCATAAAGTGGTTGTCATGGGCTGTAGTTCTCCTTGACAAGGCTGGCGATGATGCTGGCACAATGGATGTCTTATCATGCTGGGCTTCTTGTTACAAAGAAGTTGGGGAGTACAAAAAGGCTGTCGCTGACTGTACGAAGGTATGATCATAACGTCAAACTTTAAAAGAATTTGAGGGTTCATACTTCATATGTTTAATTTCCATTTACACATTTTGTATAAATTAGCTTGAGTTCTTATAGCATCCCGATAATCTTTTAGTTATAAAACTCTTAGATAACTCTTTAAGCTCTGCTGCCCAATATGCCTTTTGAACATCATAAGCTGATCCAGCTGGTGCAAGAGATATATTGATCCAAAACATGTCCTCTGCTACATTTCTTGACACAATCTCTTGTTATGAAGTATTGGAACATAGCCAGAATAGGGTGGCAACTAATTAAGTGGCACATATTTATTTGATTGGGCCCTGCATGTATGACACTGTCCAATTCATTTTGCTTTGCAGCTTCATGAGTTGTCTCTTGATTCTTTACCTGCTTAATGTTGTGTAACCATTTCATTGATTACCTTGCTTGTGTATCTGTCCTTGTAATTTGCTTTATATTTTACAGGTACTAGAACAAGACGGTACCAATGTATCTGTCCTTGTACAGCGGGCCCTCCTATATAAGAGTATGGAAAAGTACAAGCTTGGGGCAGAAGACCTCAGGACTGTTATGAAACTTGATCCTGGTAACAAGCTCGCAAGAAGTACCTTTCACCGCTTGACTAAAATGGCCGGGTGGAGAAGTTTTGGAATTCTATTTGTGAACCTTTTCATTTCTCATATGCTTGATTACACTATCTCCCATCTTCATATCAACTTGTGGGGGCTATTATTACGTTTCTCTTGAAAATTTGACTTACTTTGTTGATGCTTGTCTTGTGATTTACACTTATAATGTACTGTATTTCATATACCCTATTGCTTGTGATTTGGAAGTTGTTCTTCTTTGTTGCTTCAAATTGGCTTTGGAAAGACAAAGTTATAAGTAGTTCTGTTTTTGCTTTGCGATGTGTCTTGCCTGTGTATGAGTTGGGTTTTATTGTTGACGGCTCTTATCTTACTTTTGCTTTTTGATCATTAATCTGCATGCAGTTGATATAAGGAATCTTTCTGCTTCCAACACAAGCCTGTTCTATTTGGTTCTATACTGATACTGCTACGCTTAGCTACACGTTGTGCACATCAGTATATCTTCTTTCAAATTGCCATTTCCGTTTTGGTCTTTTCTTCACCATTAATTTTTTCTAGGTGATTACAGTACCAAGGGAGCTATTAGCAAAGCAAATAATTTTCCCGTACCAAGAGGGACCAGTAAAATTACTCTATTGTGATGTATGTCACGAGCTTGTATTAAGAAAACAATTTCTTTACATAGTAAGACTACTAGGTACATTTGATTTTGGGCTTCTGTAGTGGTAAGCATAGGATATATTGAACTACCTATGCTGCTCACTGATTCCAACTGAGATGATTCAGCTTAATTAATATAAGAGTAGTGCTATTAAGACTTAAAAATTAAATTAAATTTGTTAATTTAATGATATAATAGTACATGATTTAATAATAGTATTATGAAAATTGTGATACTGGCACACTGATTTTCTTTCTACGACTATCAAAATAGGAGCCGAAGTAAGCCTCATTTTGAATTCTTGGAATGTCTTTTCACAATCATCATTCCACTCTAACTTGATCTCTTTTCGAGTAAACTTGGTCATAAAAGCAGCTAATCGAGAGAAGTCTTCAATGAACCTCTTATTGTACCCCGCCAATTCCAATAAATTGCGTATCTCGAATACTGACTTCAGTCTTTCCCAATTCATAATTGCTTCCACCATTTTAGGGTCCACGGACACACTCGAAGCCAACACTACATGTCCCAAAAATTTCACTTTTGTAAGCTAAAATTCACACTTGCTAAACTTGGCGTGCAACTAATGATCTCTCAACATCTGGAGAACAATCCTCAAGTGATTCTCATGCTCCTCCTCAGACTTGGAGTAGATCAAGATGTCGTCAAAAAAGACTACAATAAACTAATCTATGTAGGGTTGAAACACCCTATGTATGAGATTCATGAATGTCGTTTGAGCATTTGTCAATCCAAAAGACATGACTGTGAACTCAAAATGTTCATACCGCGTCCTAAATGTCGTCTTAGGGATATCTGTTTCCCTAACCTTCAACTGATGGTAACCGGTGCAGAGATCTATCTTGAAGTAGACCCGCGCTCCTCTCAATTGATCAAACAAGTCATCAATCCTCGACAAAGGGTACCTATTCTTGATAGTAACCCGATTCAACTGTTGATAATCTATGCATAGTCGAAGGGTTTTGTCATTCTTCTTGGAAAATAACACCGGAGCGTCCCAAGGTGAAGTGCTCGGTCTAATAAAGTTCCTGTCCAACAATTCTTGCAATTGGACCTTGAGTTCTTGTAACTCAGCTGACGTCATCCTATGTGGAGTCATAGAAATAGGTGACATACTAGGATGCAACTTAATGATGAAGTCTACATCCCTATGTGGAGGTAATCTCGATAGTTTATCCGGAAAAACATCCTCATATTCGCACACGACCTAAGGTAGACCCAACTCTTGTCTCGCCTCATCCTCCAGGGTAAGGCTTGCTAGCCAACCCATCAACTGCCCGTGCCAATGAGAGTTATACACTACTTGGGATAAAACGTCATGTTTTTCTTCTTGGAACTTGAAACAAATTCCCTTCGAGGTGTAGGCTGTGACTCTCTTATGATCACAATCAATGACGATTTGATGTGACGCTAACCAATCCATGCCAAGGATCACATCAAACTCCGACATGTCCATGACCTTAAGGTCTACGGTGAGTAGAATTTCCGAGATCTCTAACTCACAGTCCTGACATATCTGATCAACTCTCATCCTAACTCTTAGGGGAGAACTCACATGCAACGGCTCTTTTAAGGTCTCAACCTCTAAGTCTAAATCTTTTACACAAGATGCATCAATAAAAGAGTGCGATGCACCGAAATCGAATAATTCTTTAGCCCATAAGCGGAGAGTAGAAATGTACCCTGTATCACCGACTGATCTACCGGCTCAGTCTGTGGCACCATGGCATAGACACGCCCCTGGGTTCCAAAAGTCCCCGCTTGTGAGCCCTGTCCTCAACCTCGACCTCGACCCATGCCCTGGCCCATCTAGCCTGATTGTGGAGTCCCTGCTCGTGAAGTAGTAGGGGTCTGTGTAGCACCCTAGAACTAATACTAGCTCCCCTAGCCTATAGTGGGGTAGGGAAGAATGTATTGTGTCAGTGGTTGCCCCACCAAAGTCTGGGACTGAGATGACCCATAACTCTGGAATCGTTACCTCTGAGGACAATCCCGTTTCATGTGACCTGGCTGGTGGTAATGAAAACATGCCCATGAGCCTGTCTGGCTGGGAGCCCTGAAGTGTCTCCCACCTTGGGAGGACCTTGGCCTTGATGACCACGACTCTATCCTTAAGGAGCAAAAGTCCTCTGTCTCTTTCCTGNAGAGTCTTCTTTCAAGTATATACAATGGGTACAGAGAAGAAGACTTGCTCGCTTAATGTCAGCTACCGGCCAATCGATTGCACTTTGATGATTTTTATGACTCTTACCAACTGCTTTTCCTAAACTTCTGACAATTTTGAAGATATTATCACTGCATAAGTTTCGTCCTCTCCTAAGAATACATATTTCAATTCAACCAGAAGAGGTTTCAACTCTAGTTTAGGAGCAACAACACTAGACTCGACAAACTTTGTTCCAGTGGATAATAACTCTTCAAATTTTGGAACCCATGTTCCAATAGTGGACATATTTGCATTGGAATTGACATTATTTACAAACTCTAACAATGTATGTGATNGGATTGACCCTCCTTCTTCTTATCTTTCACACCCACCTCCCGGATGTTCCGTGCATCCTCTACTTCTCTCTCAATGGTCATAGCAGTCGTGACCATTGAGTCCAAGTCTTACAAAAAAAGACCCATGATTTTACTCCGGATGGACAACTTCAGACCATCCACAAACTTCCTCACCTTGGCCATGTCAGTGGCCACATTGTCATCGACAAAACGTGCTAATTCCGTGAATTTAGCCACGTATTCCATCACCGTCATCATCCCTTGTCGCAAGTCCAAGAACTCTTGGACCTTTGCATGTTTTGCGACCCCCAGAAAATATTTGCCCATGAAGAACTCCTTGAACTCTACCCAAGTCATTGTCTCCAAATTTTTGGAGTCCTTCACCCAATCCCACCGCAGCTGGGATTCTCCCTCCAACTGAAATATTGCTAGGGTTATCTTGGTGGCGTTGGAGGTAATCTCTATTGCCCTTAAGACCTTATCGACTTGTCGGAACCAATGATCAACCACTATAGGATCCGCCCCTCCTTGTCCTCCACTTGCATTAGTCTGTGCAATGGTGGCAGTCGTACCATTAGCCTGTACTATAGTAGCACCCACCGTACCAATAGACTCCACTAAGGCTTGTTGGTCAAAAGCCGGTGGTGGTTGGTTATTATTTTGTCCACCCCGACGTCCCCTTCTTCTACTTGCCATCTACACACATGTCAAATGACAATAGAACATTCACATAACATCCTAAGGTAGGGATCAAACTTGAAACATTGAGATTTATCTCCTTGTTTCCCTAGTAAAGTTTATGACACCCACTAGTAAACATTTATACCTTTAACTATCCCGTTCATTTCTTTCCCGACCCTCAAGGTTATGTTTTCTAACCTTAGTGTTTCTTTTCATATACATTTTACCATCTATATATTGTACATAATCACATAGCACATAATCATGTAACAAAATGTAAGCACATAAGATGAAATATACAATGCATGCAATGGTCTAAATCCAATGCCCATCAATCTCTAAGTAATTCGTATACCTATACTCTGATACCAAGCTGTGACGCCTCTAAATTCGGGGGTCCCGTTGACCTCTGTCAACCTACGAAAATATCTGTGAGTGCCGCATAATCTGACATTACGTAATAGTATCTTTTTACCTACGATTTTAACTCACACATGTAACCTGTGTTCTTTTAATCATTTAATCCACCCTAATAGATCCCATTTAGGGTCCATTTGTGTCATTGGAACTAAAGAACCAAAGTCCAAAAACATAGCACTTTAGTTTTAAAATTTGAAAAATTTGGAAAAGCATACTGGTATTGCGTACCGGTACAGTTTGCCCTCTGGATAGACAGTACCGGTACGCCGTACCGATACGCTCTGTCTTCTGGACCATACGGTACCGGTACACAGTACCGATACACTCTGCTTAGTGTTGTTCGTTTCACCTATTTTGCATGTCTAAGACATTCCAAACCACCCCAACATCATTTCAAACAAATATAATGATGTTTATCGAATAAAACTTTATATCTACAAGTTCTATTACAAACCATTTACACGATTACATATCAAAATGGAATATAAACCAAAGTTTTACACAAAACTTGTTTTCAAAAGCCACAAACCGGCTTTTCTTCACCCTCGACGCCCCGAATGAGTATCATCCGCCGGAATATACCCCGCACCTGAAATGTGTTTCCGTATAGGGTGAGTCACGCCCAATAGAATTTCCTATAGAGGCTACTCCTCACTTAAGTGCATATGCAATGGTCTCATGCAACAATTACAAACATAATTCTATTTCATCCAAGAACATGCTATTCAAAATGAAATTCCTCCATGCCATGTCATGATATGATATGAAACTCACTCATGCATTTCTTTTGCCTAAGCCTACTCCAGCTTCAACAACACTATGCAATGCATGTGTGTAAAAATATTTATTTTTGATGAAATACATCCAAAGAT